CTCTTTCCCCAGGCTATAGAGTCCTGAACAACGGTAACAGTATTGGGGAAAGTAAGAGAAGAAAGAGAATGAAGCTATCGGGGAATCTAATAAATCAACCAAATGTTCAACAAAAACACACAATATAACGGGACAATCGGAGTGCATCAGGGATGGGATGGCATTTGAGCTGACATATATGGAAAATGGGGTAGGGAAAAGTTAGCACAGAATTCACTCATTCATTCAGTTCCACACAGAAAAGCATCGACCAGTGCTAGGCACTATGGGAACAAAAAGTCTCAGTCCTCTCACAGTGTAATCTACACAGGAACCCAGAAACCATGTGGTTAAGGCCCTGTTGGAGGCACGCACACAGTAATATTGGGGCACAGAAAAGTATCTTCCAGTTGATGAAGTTAGGGAAGGTTTCCTGAAAAACAACTGCACTGTCTTCAAGGATGGGCCCAGGTTAAGCTGGCACAGGAAGGAAATGCAGAACGTGTTAAGAGGGGTCAGTTTGCTGCTACTAAAGTACAAAGAAGGAACTGGTAAGAAATACCAGTAACATCAGACCCTCAATGAGTAATTAGAGATGTGGTACATACACACAACGGAATACTATTCAGCCGGAAGAAAACATGAAATACTACCATTTGCGACAACATGGATGGATGCTCTTGAGAGTAATATGCTAAGTGAAATACGTCTGATGTTAAAGGACAAGAAGCATATAATTTCACTCATGTGGGATATAAAACAAAGCAACAAACTCATCGATGCAGATAACTCAGATGCAATCAGGATTTGGGAATGTGGAGGCAGGGATGGACAGCAGATGGCCATTTTAAATTAAGATGGACAGCGCAGCCCTCCTGGTGTGACTCAGTGGTTGAGCGTCGACCTATGAACCAGGAGGTCACGGTTCGGTCCAATTCCCAGTCAGGGCACATGCCCGGGTTGGGGTTCAATCCCCGCTAGGGGACATGCAGGCAGCAGCCAATCGATGATTCTCAAACTGAGGTTTCTCTCTCTCTCTCCCTCTTCCTTCCTCTCTGAAATCAATAAAAATATATTTTTAAAAACTTAAAAAGAAAAAGATGGACAGATGTAGGTTTCCTGGAGAAGCGGGGGGTCTGCACAAAGACTTGAGAGATGTGAGACACCCACAAAGACCCTGGGTGCACTCCCTGCGGGCGAGAGAAAAGGAATGGACACCACTCACCGATCTTTACGTCGTGCTGGGGGTGCTTTCGAATGAGCGCCACAATCTGCTGGGCCGCTTCGTGTTGGGAAGGGAGATCCAGCGCCGGGTTGCAGTTGGTGTTGTCTAGGTACAAGGTGTGGATCTGCTTCCCCACGCTCAGGGCTGGCTCCTTCAGCATGGCCGGGGTAAACCGAAAATCGCCTGGGGGCCGCGTCAGAGACAAAAGTATAGAAGGCAAGCCTCCCACCTCCCACAACAAATGGGCATTATTAGCTTTCTGGCTCTCGGGAAACCTGGGGTCTGGCACCGGACTACTCCGCTTAGTACAGCTTCCTTGTGGAAATGTTTCTAGCCCGTTCCTGTCCACGGTTTGGTCCCTGAAGGAGTGAGAAGTCTCCAGAAAGGGTCAGTGCTCCTATGGGATTAAGCTAGGAGGCCTTCAGACTTCTTTTTAGAACAAATTTATTGGGTGTCACTGGTTAATAGGGTTCCATAGGTTTCAAGAAAAAGATGGAACTTCAGGAATTTGCGTGTTATCCTTCTGCAGGGGCCACGCTGATCTTTGTATTGTCCCGATTTTAGCGTATGTGCTGCTGAAACGAGCATTCTATTAGGAGTTAGGGCTGGTCAAGAAAGTCTGGTGGAGGCTGAGGAAGCGGGAGGGGTTCCTGGGAGGCCCACCTGTGTAGAGGATGGTTCCAAAGTATCCCTCAAAGAGAAACATGACCGAGCCAGGGCAGTGATTGGCGTCCATCAGGGTGACAGTCATGGTCTCTCTCCCAATTTCATCTAAAGGCAGGACATGGCTCTCCCCAACCTCCAGGGCTCGGATCCACCGCTTAGACACCTGAGGAAACAGTAGGTCATGGCAGTGAACACAGACTCCCCTCCCCGATACCTCCCTGGGCCAGGAGCCATTCCTTCCCCGACTGAGGGAAAGCTGGCCAAATGCTGAGCAGAAGCTGTCATGCAGATTCCTGCCTTCTCCCACTCACCACCCCACCCTCTGTACAATTTTAAATGAAGATTCCAGAAAACAGTCTAGTCAGCGATGCTCAAACTTTCCAGATTATAATAATCCCTTGGGGGCACCTGTTTTAAAAAAAAAAATTCCCACCAAATATCCAGGACCTGCACCAGCTATATCTACTGAACCAGATGGGGGAGGGGAGGTGGTGGAGAATCTATCTACCCAGCACATCGGGTGGGTTTTTAGATGAGGCCAGTTGGGGAAAGCCTAGCTTATGTGACGAGGCAGGAACAGGAGTTTCCTCGGTTGGGCTAAAAGATCTCCCCAACTTATAGCTGAAACATCCCAAGTCCCGCCCGTTGGCACCCACACTCTCGCTCCGGCTAAAGATGCATTGCTGGGTTCGCACAACTTCCCCATTAGTAACAACCAGTCCTCCGGGCCCCGCTAGGCCCCCAAGGCTGAGCTGGATGGGAGTCCTGGACGCCGACTCCAGCTCGCCGTACCTGTAGGTGACGGTGCAGGAGGAAGGCCGTGATTGGGGAGCAGTAGAGGGGCCGCGCCCACGTGCTGGACAGCCCCACGGTGTGGTCCGAGTGCATGTGCGACAGGAAGAAGAGCCGCGCGGAGCCAGCCCGGCGCAGGCTCCAGAAGTCCACCGCGATGGGCGTGTGCGGGATCAGGACCCCGTTCATGGCGGCGGGGTGGCCGTCGCCGTGGGATTCGCATGGGAACAGCCCCGCGGCGTGAGCCTCCGACA